GTGTGTCACTAGGGAGTAGGCTTTGAGGTCTTAGAAGCTCAAGGCAGTTCTTACCCTGCTGCCTGCGCATCAAGATGTGGAACTCTCAGCCCCTTCTCCAGCACCCTGTCTGCCTGCACACTGCCATGCTTCTCACCATGAGAAGCTGAGCTGCAAGCCAGGCCCAGCTAATGTTTCCCTTTATACAAGTTGCCCATGCTCTTCACAGCAATAGAAACCCTAACTAAGACACACCCCCTCATCAAATACAAATACAGTTTATACTGCCATATGCTCTTGGTCTTCGATATGTGATTTTCATTGGAGGCTGGTCTACCAACCAGGGGTCACACCCTTAAAGAAAACTCTCTCTCTCTCTCTCTCTCTCTCTCTCTCTCTCTCTCTCTCTCTCTCTCTCTCTGTGTGTGTGAAATATCAACTGCCAATACTTCTTAGCTAGGGCTCTCCATGCTAGAATTTTATCTAGCCTGAGTCTGCATAGGCCTTGTGCATGATGTTTAAAATACTTAGTTCCCATGTGCAGCTTCCTGCTGTGTCCTTTAGTCAGCCATTACATTGGACTCTTAAAACCTTCCTGCCCCCCCCTTCCATCAGGATCCTTTAGCCTTGGGAGGAGCGATGCGATACAGCTGTCCCATTTAGGACTGAGCATTCTGTAGTCTTATTCTCTGCTCCTTGATCAGTTGTAGGTCTCTGTGTTAACCACCATCTATTGCAAAAAGAAGCTTCTCTGATAAGAGCTCCTGATACACTAATCTATGGGTATAACAATAAGTCATTAGGAGTCAGTTTAATATTATGTACTTTTAGCAGAGTGATAGTAGCAAGTTCTTCCCTAAGGCCCACGGCCTATCTAACCACAGGTTCTTGGCCTGAGTGATGGTGCTAGGTGTGGGTGGTTTCAACTTGTGGAATCGGCCTGGAGTCAGTGAAAGTCACTCCCATACATTGGGCCACTGCTGCACCAATGGGCGTGTCTTGTTTTAGCTGGGGGTCCGCATTTGTTAAGAATGATGATTCCTTTTCCCCGTTAGTGTCCGCAGCACCTTCGAACACTGAAAGCTAGCCAACAGAGATGAGGCTTCCAGCCTAATGACAGCTTGTTTTCTCCAGGTTCTGAGTCAGATGTGTTGGGTCTTCAGTATGGCATCATCTTTTCAAAAGTAGGTTAGACTTGTGAAGAGTTTCCTTTTTAAGATGTATGCTTTTAAGTTTTGTTTTTATTCATTTGTATGTGTGTGTGTACTATGTGTGCACTCATAACCACAGTGGCCAGAAGAAGGCATCAGATCCCTTGGAACTCCAGTTATAGGTGGATGTAGGCTTCCTGATGTGGGTGCTGGGAACTTGGATCCCCTGTGAGAATAATACATGCTCTTAACTGCTGTGCCACATCTCCACTCCCAAAGTGGCTTCATTTGTGAGATCCAAAAAAGAGAAATAGCTCAAACATCTATTTTCATGACTCTGGGAGAGTCATTTGGAACCTCATTCATACAAGGGCTGCAGACAAGGGCTGTACCACCCACCGAGTTACTTACATTCCTAGCCCTAGAACTTTGATTTTTCAGTTTAAAAAAGCAGGTAAATGAGGTCTACATTGAGTCAGTTTTGGCAAACCCATGGAAATCATTGTTTGCTTGTTTTGAGATAGGGTCTCAAGCTATGTAGCCCAGGTTGGCCTTAAACTCACTGAGATAGTCCTGCCTCAGCTTCCTGGATGTTTGGTGTTGTATTATTAAGTGATCATACATCATCCTTTTATGCCTTGGGGTCCTGGACTGGCCCATCTGGAAACCTGGAGGCACCCTGTTAATTTCCAGACACGGGGCACCCATATTACAGGATTCTCAGAGGTCATCACTAGTCACACAGAGATCTTGCCTGTATACTTTGTAGAGTAGGTCTTCCAGCAACAAGGCTTGAGGAAGAAACAGCTAACAGGAGAGGGCGGTGAATTCTGGCACCAGAAAAGGACATACAATGGATGCTATTGGGGAGCAGAAAGGCCACAGAGGAGGGAGTGGTGCTTGTGTTTACAATGAGGGGAACAGCATGAATCAGCCCCTGTGGCTAGAATGCGGTGTGTCCGTGTGTCCAGGAGTCCTGGCCCCTTCCAGCATGACAATGTGAGCTTTAAATACCACTGCCCACAGTTAGATTTCCAGTTGCCCACAGGCTACATTTCTTGGTGAATGGTGGTGGTTCTCAACAGAGATGCTTTTTCATTATGGGGGTGGGGGCAGATGGATAGCAGAAAAGACTGAATATAATTTTTTAAAAATATGGTAAAATGTGCATAACAAAAATGACCACTTCAAGCTGATATAGTTGCACACAACTGCAATCCATCTCTTGGTAGGTTCAGAGTGAATTTGAGGCTGGTCTAAGCTACAGAGTGGAGCCCTGTCTAAACACACACACACACACACACACACACACACACACACACACACACACACACACACACGGGAGTGGGGAGTGGACCGGAGGATGGTTCTGTGGTTAAAAGTGAGCGCTGCTCTTATAGAGGACCCAAATTTAGTTTCTAGCACTCACATCAGGTAGTTCACAACCTCCTGTAACTCCATCTCAGGGCGATCTGAAGCCTCTGGCTTCTGTGGGCACCTGCACTCATGGGCACATACCCACACCCAGATCCACATACATGCACATAATTAAAAATAATAAAAATACAAAGGAAATAAAATGACCGTTTTAACCGTTTAAGTGAACACGGTCGGTCGAGGGGCCTTCAGCACGTACACAGGGTTGCACCAGTGACTTGACCCTTGCCCCAGACTGAACCTTTACCCATGAAGCCCTCCCTCCCACCCAGAAGACACCCTCCAACCGCTGTCTATGTGAGTTTGGCTACTGTCCCTTGTGACTGACTTAAGTCACTTATCGTGGCATCCCGGGGGTCACCTGTGTTGCAGCATGCATCAAAGCTCTCTTCCTTTTATTGCTGAAGAATATTCCAATCCGTAACTATTCTGTACTGCACTGTGTGCGTGGGCCTTTGTGCTTATCAGCCCACCTGCCTCTGGACTCCTGGGTGCTGCCCAGCTCTTGGCTGTGGAGATCTGACTGATTCATCCTCTTTTTGAGACAGGGTTTCTCTGTGTAGCCCTGGCTGTCCTGGAACTCACTCTGTAGCCCAGGCTGGCTTCAAACTCTCAGAGACCCTCCTGCCTCTGCCTCCCGAGTGCTGGATTAAAGGCACGCACTCCCGTTCCCCTTCCCCTCCTAACTGACTCATTTTGTTCCTGTGTATGTGATGCTGGGGAACGGAACCGGCTTCCTGCCTAATGCTAAGCAAGTGTTCTTCCATTGAGCTCCATCCTAAGCCTCTTATTTGTTCTTTTTATTTTATTTTATTTTATTGAGATGGGGTTTCTCTTTCTGGGCCTGGAATTCACTACTTAGAACAGGCTGGCCTGGAGCTCACAGAGCTCTGTCTGCCTCTAACTCCAGAGTGCTGTCACTTTCTTGTTTGTTTGTTTGTTTGCCATTGTATTATTTATTATTATAATTTTTTTTTTTTTTTACAAAAGTTTATTACAATGTACAACAGGCTCCGGGATAACATTTCATTCTAACTATAGGTGGCAAAGATGTTATGGCAGGGAATCCAGATGTTTAAATAGGAATGGAAGAGGGTCACCATCATCTCAGATATGAAGAACAGCTTACTTTTTGCCAGATTTCTTAATTCCACCTGTGGCCTTGGCTTTTAGCTCCTCGGGTTTCTTCTACTCCTCTTTCTGTTTCTGCTTGAAAGCCTCATCTTCCTCGTCCATCTCCTCGGCCTGCTTCGTGGGCTGCTTCAGGGGCTTCCTCTTGCCACCTTTGCGCCCGACATGGCGCCTACAGACAGCCCCTTGACCAGACCCTGATCCTAAGCCTCTTGTGTGTCCTTTAAAGCAAGATGTTCAGACCTGAGCAACAGAGGGTTTCTGGGAAGTACGAAGAAGCAGGAAGTATAAGAAGGACTCACTGGGAAGGGAGCCAAGGAGCCCTTGGGAAGTGCTGGGAGGCCCTGTGTGTCAAGGGAGCTGGGTAGGACGTGGCTGGGAGGAAGTGCAGAGTAGGTACCTGAGGATGGCTGGCCCAAGGAGAAAGGGTCAGGGTAGACCTCTTACTTCATGAAGCTGGTCTTATTTCCAGGCAGGGGTGCATGGCTAGAGTGACAGCCAGGAGAGGAGCTGGCCCCAGTGGGAGGACAGCCACCCACAGAGCCGGGACGACTCAGGCCTGGAGATAAGTGACCTGGAAGTGGACGCACCGAGCCTGAGGCGAGGCCACACCCACTTCACAGCCACTCTTTGGGTGGAAGGCAGCTTTCAAAGACACAAGACAAGCAGGAGAGAGAGGGGGTTGCCAGGAATGGGTGTGGCAGAGACTCCAGGATGGTGACCACTAGGAAGGTCTGTCCCTAGGTGTAGCATTTGTTGAGTTTCAGGGCATGTCCTACGCCCAGAGTCCAACACTTGGAGGTGCTGGATCTGTGTTGTTGACTGAAAATGAAGGCCATGAAGGACATAAAAGACATGAACAACATTTTGAGAGTGTAAAGCACAAAGACAATTTTTTTGCTCAAAGAGGAGTCTCTTCTGATGAGGTAGCCTGAGGGGTCCTTCTGATAAGGTGGCCTTGGTGGTGGTGGTGGTGGGGTTCCTCCTGATGAGGCAGCCTGAGGGGTCCTTCTGATAAGGTGGCCTTGGTGGTGGCGGTGGTGGGGGTCCCTCCTGATGAGGCGGCCTGAGGGGTCCTTCTGATAAGGTGGCCTTGGTGGTGGCGGTGGTGGGGTTCCCTCCTGATGAGGCTGGTGGGGTTCCCTCCTGATGAGGCGGCCTGAGGGGTCCCCTGTGGTGAAGTGGCCTGGAAAGCCTTGCAAAGCAGGAGGCAGCTGACTTACTCTTCCTCTTCAGTAGATAAAAGCAAGGGTTACCGTCTGGGAAACTAGTTTGGTCCTGACCTTTCCTCCTCTGACCCAGCAGGTATGATGCTGGAAGGGATGGCTTTATCGACCTGATGGAGCTGAAGCTCATGATGGAGAAACTGGGGGCTCCCCAGACCCACCTGGGCCTGAAGAGTATGATCAGAGAGGTGGATGAGGACTTCGACGGCAAGCTCAGCTTCCGGGAGGTACCCGGAAGACCCCCCAGTCCACAGCCCCTGGGTGCAGATGGGTTTGCCTCTGAGAATGCTCTTTGAATGGATATTTAACTGTCAACTCAGCTTTTAAACACATCCTGTATAAACTGTGTGATCGGCACGGTCCTATAATCCCAGCACTCGGGAGCTAGAGACTGATCATGAGTTGAGAGCTAGCCTCAGCTACATAGTGAATTACATGAGACCCTGTCTCAAAAAAAATCTTTCATGGTAGCTCATGTCATGTCAGTACATGAGGGCTGAGGCAGGAGGATTGCTATAAGTTTCTGCCTATGAGCCACTTTGTCTGACTTCTTACATAATTTTTAGAGGTGTGTATGGGTTTTATTGGAAGATTTTTTGATGTTTCAATTGGACATGATGTCACATAACTTGTGACAGCCTCCTAAGGTCAAGATGATAGAATTAGACATTTTCCGTTTTCCTGTTGTAGGTTCTGATCAGCCAGGCCCTTGAGAGCAGTCCTCTTAACCACTGGGCCATCTCTCCAGCTTCCTCTCGCCTGTTTCATTCAGAGGCCACCACAGGTGATCCAACTGAATCGAAGCTACGTGGCCATCTTTTGGTTAGCTTCTGGTGTGGCCATTTCTCACAGAGGTGGACATCCAAGGTCTGGAGAGCTCCAGAGCAGTTTTGTCAGCTCTCGGCCCCTGTAAGCAGCCCTAACGCCGTTCACGTCAGTCCTTTCTTTGTGAGCGCCAAGCCCTGTCTCGGTCCCATTTCTACATTGTCCTAGGTCTGTGGGCTTGGATGTGTGAGGACATGTGACCGTCTAGACCCCCCACGAGCTTCACCCTGCTCTGTGATTTGCTTTGCTGTGTCTACCCACGGCAGAAGCCACCTGGGCTCGCAGGCAGAACTCTGGCTGTCAGAGCAGTACGTGTCTCTTGAGAAAGTTCTACTTTCTTGGAGGCAGAATCCATCCCAGGCTGGCTTCAGACATGGGATTCTTCTGCTTTAGCTCCCCAAGTGCTGAACCTGTAGGCTTGTACCTCACGCATGGCCATCATGGAGTTCTCTTTGGTTTTTTGAGTCAGAGTCTCTGTTGTCTAGACTAGCCTAGAACTCAATATGTAGCCCAGGCTGGCTTTGAACACATAGCAATCGTTCTATTTTAGCCTCCTTAGTGCTGGAGATTATAGGCAAGTATCACCATCGTCCATTGGTTCTGTGTGTGTGTGTGTGTGTGTGTGTGTGTGTGTGTGTGTGTGTGTGTGTGTGTGAGAGAGAGAGAGAGAGAGAGAGAGAGAGAGAGAGAGA